GCCTGCTTCGGATGTATCCGATCTATCCCACGGTCTTCGTTTTCGACCATTCATTCTCTTAAGGGGAGTGTGACGAGGATGGCTCACGATGCCGCGGATTCATCCGAAACGTGCAGGCTTGTGGACCACTATCGTCTAACTATGACTGAATTTCGTTTTTTTGGAGTCCGGGTGACCGATAACAGAATACGTGTTGTGGGTCGTGGTTGATGTTGGGACATGCTAACTGTTCTGAGTGAATGTGGGTTCATTTCCTCCGTGTGTTTCAAGGAATGGCTTCACACGGACGAGGCCGCTCCGCTGGTGGTTCCGCCCCGCACGGAGAGGAGCGTCGAGGGACAACGTCGTCGCCGACAAGGGAAACGAGTCAGGGAGTTCGAGGTGGGGAGGAAGAACGACGTGCTCAAAACTTGTGGTGCGACTACAGCAAACGCGTCAGGTATTTGGACTGGGCGAGCCAGGACGGCTCCAACCCTTGCAATCACCGTGCGGGCTGCTCTTAATCGTCGCCGTTCGCGCTGACAAAACGCGTCTCGCAGGGTCCATGGTTCGGTGGGTCAACGATGGCGAATACAATTTCAAGTTTACTTTGAAGAAGCATTACAAAAGTGATGGTTCTGTCGACGGCATCGCAAAGGGATGCAAGGTTGTCGGGAGGATGTTCGGCGAGTACGACCATCGTGCGATGTCTTTGCCTCACTTTCTCCCGCTAGCGCCGGGGCACGACGAGGCCGTTCACGTCACAGACTTCCTCAAGGTCTGGGCGAAATCTGATACCTCTGTCAGTGCTGTGGACATCGGACCAGGAACATCGATTTGTGGTCCTGTTGGGTTCGCGGGAGGAGAGTGCTCTGAAAGGGAGATGGGAAGTCAGGGTGGCCTACCAGCTACGCCTCCTGATGAGGAGGTGGGCATGTCAAACAACTCGGAGGACGACCATCCGCGTGCTCCTTTGAAACCGGGCTTGAATGTATCTCGCCGCCACCGTTTGCTTGGGGAGTCGACGCCACATGGAGGCGGCGATGGCGAACGGTTGGGACAGGGCTCASAATCGACGACTCCTCGTGGTCCGGTCGAAAGGATCGGTTTGTTCGTTCGTGGCATGCAGGTGGCCGAGGTTTCGCCTGGAGATCGAGCGGGTGGTCCGAAGGTTCGAGAGGTGCGTGGGTCAGATGAGACGACTCGCGGGGCCCGACCAGCGCCGGGGGAACTGCAGACGGAGTTGAGCCAGGAACGAGAAGCAAGTGGGAACGCCGCCAGTGAGGAGGAGGTGTCCGAGCAGGGGCTGTTCCGTGAGAGATCGGCAGAAAAGACTCAATCAGGAGGCAAGCGCAACTTGCCGGATGAGGAAGAGCAAGAGGGACTAAGTGCTCTGAAAAGGCAGAGAAAGGTAGGAGGGAGTGCTCGGATGCCAACAACACGAGAGGGCGGTTCCGTTGAGAAGAGGAAAAGGGTTGGAGGTGGGGATCAAACGCCAAAAGACTCGTCGACACGGCGAAGAACCGGTGAGTCTTCCAGGAAACGGTCAAAATCATCGAGGGGGAAGAAAGTAGACGAGGGCGACAGCGGGGAGGGGGATGACGATGTGGAGATTAACCTCAACGCCTTTAACCTCGACAATGCGTTCTTCCTCGAGATGCAGACAGGGGTGCAGAAGGACGTCGTGTTGCACATCCATCCCGAAAGAATATTAGCTATTCCAGACTGGGAAGATGCGTACAACCATCGATCCTTGGACGAGTTCCTCGTTGATACCATCGCGTCGGCTATGATTGACTGCTACGAACGCAAAGACATGAGATACACGAAGCCCATTTTCATTCTCGCTCCGATCGTCGCGCCTCCAGAGAATGGCGAGCCTGCTGTGCGTGTGCTGCCTGCTGACTTCGACAGATCACACCCGGAGAAATACTGGTATTATCCTGTGTATGGACAGCATAACGCGAGGGCGGCGATGATGGTGAAAGACCATCCCGTGTTTGATTACTACAACTTATGTAAATGGTCGTTCAGACCGATCTACTTCCCTGACGACGAGTTCGACGGCTACGCCCATGTCAGCTGCGAAGACGACATGAAAGACAAGAAGAATCCACCGCGCTTGCAGGTTTTGTCTATGCAGGACATTCGCAATATCTGGAAAATTAAGGGCAAAACGCGTGTGGTGCTCGACAATGCCTCGAAGAAACAGGACGAGGTGCGAAAGTGGGTGCAGTTCATGGCGTTGGCAATGAAGAAGACGCCGTACACGCCTATCTAGAACCTGTCAATGGAAGCAAAGAAAAGAAAGGAATGGGCTGAGAAACTTCGATACTACCTCCCGCTGGCCATGGCAGACGACTCCGTCTTTGCTTTGGGGTTGAAGTTCTATGAGGAGTGGTCGAAAGGGAAACTCCTTGGTTCCGACGGCCGGCGTTGGACTAAAAAGCCGCCCACCCATGAGGAGGTGGCCAAGCCAGGACTCTCCACTGTGACTGACAGCCAGGGGCTGAAGAAACACGTCTCGGATGTGAAGGTGGACGACCCATCGTTGAAAAAGGGCAGGGGGAAGCCAAAGAAAGGCGTGGAGGAGAAAAATTTCTACGTCCAAGTTCCAGAGCCGGATGTCCACTGCTGGAAGGAATTGGTGGACTTGACGGACCGCGAGAAGAAAAGGCTGTTGAACGGCGTCTTGAACCTTAACGTCGTGTGGGTTCAAACGACTAGCAAAAAGTTGGCCGAGCAGGAGAAGTTCAGTGTCAAGGAGATGGTCGACACAATAAAAATGGACCGGATTATGCTTAGGCTATGGCACTACGTGGAGTTCGAGTACGATGAGGAAATGGATAAGCGGGAGTGGAATGCCAACTCCACGTTCTTCAGGTCCAAGAAGCAACT